GATTATAACAGCACAGGAAAAGCACCTTGACATCAGATGATGTAACTGATAAAGGCCTACTAAAATAAATATTTTCAGGTCTACCTTGATGAGATCCTGGGGTCCTGGTACTAACAAACAAAGAAAGAATGGAACTGAAGAATACCTATTACACTTGGGAGTTACTACAGGATATAGCTAAAAATGTAAGTGCATTAACAAAATTGCTATGAAAAGTAAGTGTGAAATAACTTTTTTTGATACTCTATTTTAGAAACATCTTAAAACTGCTTAATATTTTTAATTAAAGGAAGGAGCTCCACTGCTTGATTTTTTTGTACTTCATTCCGTAGAGGTTACAAATTAGAATTCTGGAAGATTGTTCTGATGAAACAATAAACATCCCATTGCCCTCATATTCAAGGGTCAACCTACTCTTTAACATTCTATCGACACTCTAAAATGCCTTGACATAGATATACTCCAAAACTTACTCAAAAATCCTATATTTGGGACAGTTTATAGAATAAACAGGGGGGAAAAACAATGATTAGGCCTTTTAAACTCTAGTGGGGTTGGAAGATGGGGGAGACAAGTCAACAGGATTCTTCAAATACATAATACGTTATCTTTAAACAAAATGGTCTTAGTCTTTCAAGTTAAAAATCTCTGGGCTATCAAGTTCCACTCACAACGGTATCAATCCTGGAAAGGGTAAGGAATTAATAATTTGGAGGAGAATGCACACTACCCCACTTCCTGTTTCCAAGATATTCTTCATGATTAGATGTGGTACCTGCAATGAAAATGCTGTAGCCTTTCTACACTGGCATTCGTAACTCTGCAATTATGGCTTTGTTATTGATATATAAACCTGATTAAGATGAGGTAGAAGCTAAATCAGGGTGAGTTCAGCCTTCCCTGTGTTCATTTCCATCCCACCCACCCCAGGTACTGTTATTGATAGGCAATTCTAGTATCATTTGTTTTACTTTGATATGCAGAGATATGGTAAGGGAGATTGACAAGCTTTTTTTGGCTCTAGAAAACAGGTAATTCTTGCCATCTATCTGCAGCATGAATCCACAATTAAACAATGTGTGTTGTGAAGTCATGAAATCTGTTTTCCTGTCTGGAAGGTTACAGGTAGTTCTACCAGCAGTTTGTGCCAAAAAGGATCATTTGTACCTATAAGATATATATATTTTAAAAAATATTTGTATTTATTATTTTAGTAGATATATATCTATGTAAAATAAACCCACATGATCTATTTACACATCTAAATATGTCTGTATTTATATCTAACAAATAGATACCATAAATACACTTTTCTCCACTTTCCCAATAACAAACTTTTAAAATATATAGAATCAGAAATTTGCTTCAATTTTGTCATCCTTACATAGCAATGTAATAACTAAGCAGCATAATCAAGAGGTAATTAGTTTCCTCTAATCTCATTAGGCCTGTAGAAATTGCTCAATTATTAATCCTTGCAACAAAGCATGTTTAAACAAGTCTTTTAAAAGCTGATTAAGGACTGCATTAACTTTGGCACACATTTCCTTACCCATATCTTCAAGCAGGCTGCTAATTTTCTTGATTCTGTGTTGCAGAGGTTCTACACCGCACCTATCTACACTGATAAATAATTTAATATTGCATAAATGAC